GATGGGTTTTTGGGGTTCAGAGGATTAATATTCAGATTAGAATCATCGATTATCTCGTAATGAACCCGTGTTTACCTCGTTAAAAATTCGCCGACGGTTTCATAATTTGCAGATTTGTGCTCCTCCGTTCTGTTATCACGGAGGCAGAAATTATTAGAATTCACACTGAGCTCATACCTGATAACATTTTATCAGTTTTTTTCTTCCTGCGCATCCAATAATCAACACTGCGAGAAGTCGTATTAATCCGTCACGGGAGAACCGAGAGGCTTCGCCCGGCAATTATCCCGATCGATGCGTCCGACAGGTGTTTTCTTTAGGAATCAATCGCCTGTTCGGTGTCTGAAAACAGTTTGATGGTTCCTCCTCGTTCTGTCCGGCCGGCTGTCAACGAGCAAAAATGTGTTTCCTGTCACTGAAAATATTCTCATCAGAGGAGGAGGCGATCGATCAGTCTGATTGAGACTGATTGATCGATGTGGTGGAACAGTGAGAGCCGACTGTGTCTCCGAGAAGTTACGTTGTATTAGTAGGGGAGATGAAGCCGTCGTTTCTGTTTGAGCGAACTGTGAGGTGGTCGGGGCGGATGGAGGGTCCACAAAGCTCCGGGCTTTCGACGTCCCGCAGGTGGTTTTAGGCAACAAGTCGAAGTGGAAATATCCAAGTGACTGTTGAGCTTCACAGATAAATATGCGTACAGTCACTTTACATTCATAATTAATTTAGAATTCAGCCCGTTCTTCTGAGTTTTCATGAAAATGCAACTTGTCTTTAATTTTACAGTCGTGACTCGATAATCCAACACTAAATGTAAAACCTTCTTTTATGTCGGATAGCAAGGCTGTCGGATTGTCAAGACGGAGGTGGAGATACGAGGAGGGCTTGATGCTGGAAGGCTCATTAGTTGTTAATACTTATTGTTTACAGTTGTTATAAGTATTGCTGGATTTCACGCCTAACTAACCGGTGGAAGTGTCCGGAACGCACAGGCAGTACTTGGCTGCTGATGTTAGTTTAATTAGCGGTCACACGTCTGTTTCCACCATCCGTGTTTACTTTTGGGTCGTATGAAGTTCACACAGCAGATCACATTCAAGTCGCATTTAACTGGAAACGTGAAGGAACTCACAAGAAAATCGGATTTCACCAAAAAATCCTCATTGAGCATCAAGTCCTGCAGTGTGAACGTAGCCAATCTGTGGGATTGTTCAGTCAGATAATACGCCGTTATCCTGATTGGTGACATAAAACGTCATGTCGGAGTCAGAATCCAAGGCTGTCGCTATGTTAAGGCTGTTTTTATGGGTTCTGCTAGTTTTTCCTAAAAACCTGTCAGATAGCAAAGTTTAGGATTGTTAAGGGTCGGATTATCACGACTGTATTTGAAGGTAAATGGACTTTAGAAACCAGCGTTTAAATGCACTGCTGAACGTCTACGTGTAGCGTTAGCGTGCAGATATTATAACTACACATGAATTCAGTCTGCAGGCTGAATGTTGTTTGTTTCTCGGAGACACAGTTGTGAAAACTAACGAACCTGATTCATGAACAGCGGCGGTGGCAACGCGTCGCTAACGGAGCTTATAGTAAAAAAAAAAAAAGCCTTCTGGTTGCCGCTGAGAGTCAAAAAAAAAAAAAAAAAAAAGCCTTCTGGTTGCCGCTGAGAGTCACATGTTCAGTAAATATGAGCGCTTAGCTTAGCTTAGCATGAATGTGATGTAACGGTCGCCTCCCGTCGTTATTAATTTGTTTGACCAACGTTGCTCTTCTGATCATTATGATGTCGTTTCGTCTCCTGTTTTACGCTGATAAATTCATTCTGTGTAATATTTCACAGAAACAAACAGAAACAGTCAAACCGCAGCTGCAACCATAAATCGTTGTAAATTAATCGCCGACTGTTTTGATCATCATTAAGTCAGTTTGAGTAATTTCTTTTCTTTTTTTTTTTTACATTTTAAATTCCAGCTTCTTAAAGGTGAATACTTTCTGGTTTCTTTCATCCTCTCTCCTCTAAATTGAATAAATCTGGGTTATAGAAAACGCTAATCAGCATTTTTCACCATTTTCTGACTTTTTATAGAGAAAACAACAAATTGATCAATTGACAGATTGATTGTCAGTTAAAATCATCGTTAGTTGCAGCTCTACTCTGAAATATTAGTGAGAAATCAATCTGAAGACGTCACTTTGGGCTGCAGGAGTCGTTTTTTGATGATTTTTTAGTTCATTTGGAAAATAATTGCTATTTGCAGCAACAAACCAAATGAAATAAGAGTTAAAAACCAGAGTTCAGTCTGAACATGTGGCTCTCGACAGTAAAGAGAAGATGTGACTAATGTGGGACGTTTCCAGCGTCTGGACAGAAACCTGCTGGATGTTTAAATCGCGACCCGTCGGAGGACTTCCTGTTGAAACGGTGCCACAGTTCGGGTCTGGGCCGTACTCACTGTTGGGGTCGACGTTCTCGCACAGCTCCGTCTTGGCCTCGCCGTTGGGCCGGTCGCTGGCTTTGTGGGACAGCCGGGTGGACATGGTGGCCGCCGTGACGACGGCCTTGAAGGAGCGCTTCCTCTTCTGCACGTTGAGCTCCGGGTGGAAGATGATGACGTAGACTTTGGGCATGTAGAGCATCCCGAGGGCGACGGACGCGCTCAGGTTCATGGAGATGGTCAGCGTGGTCGTCTGGATGTAGAGCTGCAAAGCCACAAAGATCAAAGTAAATCAGTGAGTTCCTCCATCAAGACGTCCTCAGAATCAGATGATTCTTTATCAACGGTAACTCCAGTTCATCTCATGACGCCTTGCAAAGTTTCACCTTCATACTGTGAATGTTTTTAGAATTACAGGTCGTTAAGTGCATAAAACATTGTGTTTTAATGGACTTTTCCATCATTTCTGAGCCTCATAACGTCATCAGTTCAGGAGATAAACACATAAAACTGGAGCCAGATCAGTTTTACATCCATCCAGGCGTCACGATCCAAACAATAAATCTGGTTTTTTGTTCATTTTCTCAATAACTAACTGTGAGCATCAGTATTATGGGATGTATTGTTGTTTGAACAATAAACTGCAGCAGAGAGAAGTGCATTCTGGGTAAACTTTCACGGCTCGTATCAGCGTGTGTGATGAAAACTAACTTCCTTCATCTGCTGGTTAAACTAAACACGTCTTTCTGTGACTCTGGGAATCCGACTGTCTTTGAAATATTCTGACTTTTGTTTGCATTCTTCTGATATTTTATTCTTTTTTGACATTTTACTGATATTTTGAGGCATTTTATTTTTATTTTCTTACATTTTCTGGACATTTTATTAATATTTTTCAACCTTTTGTTCATATTTTATGGCTTGTTAATACTCTGGGGCTGTTTCATTCCTTTTTTTTACACTTTTATTTTTGTTTTTTGTTCATTTTCTTACATTTTTTGGGATACTTTCTAATTTTTTGTAAACCTTTCTTTTACGTTTTATAGGTTTTTGATATTTGGGGGCTGTTTTATTATTTTTTTACGCTTTTATTTATGTTTTTGAGACACTTTAGAGACATTTTATATATTTATTAACGTCTATTAATACTTTATTGCTATTTTCCGACATAAGCAGAAACCAAACTCTCCGGTTTCATTCCTGTCTATGTTCCTATAAAGGTGTTTGTTCACGTCTCAGTCACAGCCTGATTTATTGGACGTTTTATTCATAAAAAAAGAAACATTGAGAAAATGGATTTTTTTCCAGGGTGTGGACAGTATCCTCTGATTTATGAAGCCATAAAAAGAAAATATCCCCAAAACCCGCCTCTGGAAAAATCAATGACCCTGAAACAAAATGAAACAAACTCTGTCACGTTTTGGAAATTATTGCAAATTTGTGCATTTTTAACCTCATTTGCATATTTCAGAAAACCTGTACATGGTTCTCTTAATGCCAGTTATAAACGGGGACGTTTCAGGCTGATGTCTGTTTGGTTTTTTTTGCCTTAAAGTGAGTTTCATCTGTTGATGTGCAGCTTCCACCAACAGAAGCTGAAGAAGTCTCGTTTGGGAACAACGGGGACGTCGTGTTTTTCTCGTGGAAACGTTAACGAGGGCGCCGGAGTTTCTTGCCTCTTGCCGTGAATCACGTTAAATTAATTAGAGATAAAAACACTTGTAATTAGAGGCGGTGATTGCGACTTTCTCTGTCGCGGTTACGGGAAAACAAAGCGGAGTTACGAGGCCGTTTACGACGCGGTGAATCATCATCGACCGCCGTCCGTCTCCAGCCGAAAACGAGGCGCGACGAGCCGCTCGCAGATTTGCTGCAGAGCCGAACTCCTGACGCTTTTTACGAGCAGGTGAAGGATGGTTCTTTATTACGTTCTCGACCCTCACCTGCAGCCGGCGGTGCTTTATGCTCCGTGTATATTGCCTTTGCATCCGAAGCCGTGGCCCTCTGAACCCAATAGAGGGCCGATATGGGCCCTCGGTGAACGCATAAAGACGCCCCGCCGAGCTCTAATGTGCTTCCTCAGAGCCGGGCTCTCGTCTTTATGGCCCTGCTGTCGCCGTCTGACGGATGCCGCTTACAGACGGGAGGCGGTGAGCGTTCAGGAAGCAGCAGGAAGCGTCGGGGCTGCAGGAGTCGCCACGTTTCCTCGCTTCGTGTTTGAAACTGAACGCGACCGAAGCCTCTGAAAGCCCCGAAACAGCCGACGGGTTTGGAAAGTGTGTCATTATTTCACAAAGAGACACTGAAGTGACACCAATGTTCAGCCAGAAACCGTAAATACGGAATAAACGGCTGAAAACGAACAAATCTGAGCAGAAAATTGTGATGTTTTGATCATTTAAAACTCTCCTGAAGGCTGTGATGACACCTCAACCCGCGTCACAAAACCACTCTTCTTATGCAACTAAACTGTGTTTTCAGTTTAGTTTGAAAGGAAACGTAATCGAGTTCACATCCTCAGACGAACCACAGATCTTCAGTCTTGGACTTGAGTTTCATTTTCTGTTTACTTTCAGTTTTCACTCACTTTCTTGGGTTTAGAAACCAAAACAACTTGGCTAAGGGTGGAAAAATATCCTGTTTAGGATTAAAATACGACCGTTTAACTGCACGCTTGAAGCTTCTCCTCCAGAACCACAGCAGATGTAACGCAACCAGAATGAACAGATGTTGGCTTTATTTTCAAACGTGCACAGAAGAGCGTATCGGGGACGCTCGTAACGTCACAGAAACTAAAATTTCAACGAGTCAAACAGTCTAAAAGTAAACCCCTGTGTGACAGGAAACAATCACAAAAGGACATAAAACAACCAAACTGGGATACAAAACAACACCAACAAGATGTAAAGTGACAAAAACAGGACACAAAACAACCAAATAACTATAAAATGACCAAAACAAGCTTCAAAACAGCCATAAAAAGATGTCAAATGACCAAAATACGACACAAAATCACCACAAAAGATGTAAAATTAGCTAAGTAAGAGACAAAACTGGTGTAAAATGACAAAAATAAGACGCAAAACATCCACATAAACAATACAATGATCAAAATAACACACAACACACCCATAAAAAAGACACAACATTACCAAAATACAGTGCAAAATCACCACAAAATATGTTAAATGACCGAAGAGAAAAAAACAGCCTCAAAAAGATGTAAAACGACATAAATAAGACACAAAACACCCCCCAAACATGTCAAAGAACAAAACAACCACAAAACATGTAAAACCAACAAAACAAGATACAAAACCACCACAAAAGATATGAAATGACCTAAATAAAGGACAAAACTGCCACAAAAAGGTGTAAAAGAACAAAAATAAGATGCAAAACCACCACAAAACACATAAAATGAGCTAAATAAGAGACACAACAGCCACAAAACAACAACAAAACCTCAAAGGAACATTGCTTCAACCTTAGGTTTCCAGTTTTTCCAACTTAAATATTTTATTTTTAACCTACATATGAAACAAAAAACATAATTCATTCTACAAACTTGCTGGTTTTTCTTTTTCTTTACTCCGTGGTCCGACTGGAAGCAAACAGCGGCTGAGTTGCATCAAACTGAAGCAGCAGCAACTGAAGTTCAACTTTTACTGACATTTAAAGACGAGTTCAAAAGGACAAAATGATGAACGAGTCACCGTTTGTTTTACTGTGGACGTTATTTACAGTTTGATTTTAGATACTAGCTGTAATTGTAGGAAACAGGAAAATCAGTTCGTTAGAAGCTGTTTAATTTCTGTTTTTGTAAAATAAATGTTAAAGCCAAACGTTTTTCTTTGGCTTCAGGTCTCCGTCATCCTAACGGTGTCAGTCTGAGTCCTCTCTCCTCCTTCGTGGTCGCTGTGTTTCCACGGAGCTGCAGGACTTCGGTGAAAAATGAGTCCACAGCGAGGAAAAATGTAACGGCGGCCAAAAACAGCCGGAGGGGAAAGTCTCGGCTATTTTTCTGGAAAATTTCCACCTGAAAAACCTCCACAGATTTATTAAGAGCAGCTCCGCGGCTGCGAGGCCAAACTGAACAACCTCTGGCTCTGTGGATCACAAACCGCTGCGAGAATCACAAAGAATATAATTTAACAGCTTTTCCACCGTGGGGAGGGTCAGAGGACGACAGGAGACCTGGTGGCAGCAGGAGAAGCTCTGCAGCTCGTCTCAGCGCCGAGGCGACACCAGACGACTCCGTCTGCAGAGCGCCACAACGCTGCTGCTCTTCAGAAACCAAAACCACCTGCAGACACGTGACGGGTGTCGAGTGAAGACGCTCTCTGTGCTGCAGACAAACGGAACAACGCAGCGACTAAAAAACGGCGAAATCCTCCTTTGATGTGATTTCAAAGCAGCCGAACACGAGCGTGTGCACGTCGCAGCGTTTGTCATCTGTTGCGTTTGTGTGTCAGCGGGGCGTAAACGCTCCATTAATTAGCCTAACGAAGGGGGAGGGTTCGTTGCCGCTCCGAGTCGGTGTGGGAGGGAAAACGCCGCTCGGTCCTGAGGCATGCTGGGAAACTGGGACGACGTTGTTGTTCACGACAAACATCCAAACATCCAGCCGAGCACGTCTGCTGTTGGCTCGCAACATCACCAAAAAGAGACGCACAGAGAGCTCAGAGACACAAAATGACCACAAATAGACACAACACGACGTCAGAGAGCCAGAAAATGACCACAAATAGACACAAATTGACCAAAAACTGATGCAAAGTGACGACAGAGACACAAAATCACTCCAAAGAGACACAAAATGATACAAAGAGTCACAGAAACACCAGGAAGTAGAAAAAGACCTTGAAGAGACATAAAATGATAATAAAAACACACAAAATGACCCCAAAGAGACAAAATGAGCTTGAAAGGATGTAAAACGCCACAAAAAGACGCACAACAAACGTAAACAAGGTGAACACAAGGAGACGCACAACGACCACAAAGAGATGAGAAACCACTCTAAAGAGATTAAAAAAATGACCACAAAAGGACACAAAATGATCGCAGAGATAAAAACTGTCCACAAAGTAACGCAAAACATTCACGAAGAGACACAAAAGACGCAAAACAACACACACAATGACTTAAAAAAGACACAAAATGACCACAAAGACAAAATCACCAAAAGAGATGCAGAACCGCCACGAAGAAGTAGAAAAAGACCTCGAAGAGATTCAAAATGATCATAAAAACACACAAAAT